GCGTGCCGCATTTCTCCCGCCGATCTCCATGGGAGAGGTTTGTTAGCTAGGAAGAATGAAGAAACAATAAGAAAAGCCACAACAAGGTAGCCACAAGAATGTAAATGTAGGCGTAGTTGACTGATAAACAACTAACCAATAATGAGCTCGCTTTTTGCAATATGCATTAGCCTTATTAACACTATTATAAATATGTGTGCCTATTCAATAAACTTCTGAGACTTGCTGATCACTCATATTGCGTGCCGCATTTCTCCCGCCGAACTCCACACGATTCCACAACCAATCCTCCCTCCAGGGAGATATCTTCTGTTAATGGGCCATTGAGTCTCACTGATAAAATTACATCATCCCACCTGTCTTTTCAAACCAAGACAGTGGTCACAGCAATGCAGCAGAGGGCCAAGTAAACAATAGAAGATCTGGCTAAATGAACATTCAAATAAAAGACTCCTGTAAAGACATGTTGTCGCGGTTTGAAACTGGCCCAACTCCAGGCACCCTCGATAGTCGTTCGCTCACCCTGCCACAGCTGGGCAATGGAGGGAAAAAATCCTAATGAACACTTCATGAGTGAGCTAAGAACCAGGAGAAATATTTCAAGGACAAAACATGCTCAGCTTAAGTTGCAAAATGAATTTTATTATTAACAGAATCAGAGGAGATGAGAAGTAAAATAAGCCCTTAAAACACCTTCTCCTCCCCCCCCCCCCCCCCCCAGCCCTTCCTTCCTTCCCACCAACAGTGCAGGGAGACAGGGTATAGGGGATTTGGTCAGTTCATCAGATTTTCTTCCACTGCTTCAGGAGAGGAATCCTTCCCCTGTGGGACCATGGGGTCCCTCCCACAGGACACAGTTCTCCATGAACTTCTGCGGTGTGGTTCCACTCTCACAAGCAACAGCCAAACCGCACCTGCTGCAATGTGAACTCCCCCAATGGACAGACAGTCCTCCCAAAACTGCTGCGGCATGGGCCACTCTTCCATAGGGTGCAGTCATCCAAGGACAGGCTGCTCTAGCCTGAAAGCAGGGGCCCCCTCTCTCCACTGGGTCTTTCACTGGATCACAGCCTCCTCCAGGCATCCACCTGCTCTGGCATGGGCACCTCACCTACAAGCGGATCACTGCATTCCCCGTGGACCCCTATGGGCTTCAGGAGTACAGCTGCTTCACCATGGTCATCACCACAGCCTTCAGAGGAATCTCAGCTCTGGTGCCTGTAGCACCTCCTGTCCCTCCTTCTCCACTGACCTTGGTGTCGCCATGTTGTTTTCCCTATCATCTTCTCACTTCCTCTTCTCTGACTAGAAGAAAAAACCTGTGACTTTCTTTTGAATTTCTTCTTAAATATGCCATCACAGAGGTATCACCAGCTTCTCTCGTTGGCCCAGTTTTGGCCAGCAGCATGTCCATCTTCAGAGCCATCAAGGATTGGCTCTGCTGGACATGGTGGAAGCTTGTCGCAGCTTCCCACAGGAGCCATCTTTGTGGCTCCCCTGCTGCCAAAAACCAGGCCATGCCAAACCAATACACACGTGAAGAAAACATTCATATTGACATTCGAAGTACATACTGTCCCTTGAAATATCTCAGCTACAGAGTACATGTTTATGGACAGAGTTGCTATAGAAGCAGCAAGTTTGAAAAGTTTGGCAGAAATTTTGGATTGCATAGGCTCTGACACCAGACTTGTTCTGGGAATACCATTTGGAAGTAAGATTCTAAGATGGAAGGCATTTAAAGATATTCCTGTTTCTCAGTACTTGGTAATTTCATAAAACAATCACTTAATAAAAAGAACTTTAGTTTAGCAGTGTATGAAATACCTGCCAAAACCTGACTTATAAGTGCTTGGCTCCTGACTGTAATCAAGCTTTTTGTTGAAAGTAGAGTCTCATCCCACCCACTGTGCCTCATGGTCCCCTTTTGTTCTCTTTATCAAATGTTTTTCACTCCATTACAGATCTAGCTTTAAAAAAATAGTTTAAAAATTTAGTGAATTCAAACTAAAAAAGTCTTAAAAAATAAAAAAAGAAAGTTTCTCAGTGCCCATACAACCCAAAGATCATATGTACGCAATTGTTAGTTGGGGGGGGGGAAACACCAAATAATATTTTTATGAAAGCAAAATGTAACATTTAAATCCTCTTAGAAGAAGTAGACAGCCAGTGTTTTCATTGATGCCATCCAGATCTGCAGTACTGATGTCATACCAATTTATTGCTATTTATGTTAAAAGCAGATTTAAGATTTATATCAGGAACACAGCAGAAGTATAATTGTGATTTCCAATATTCATAGAATAAGACATAGCCATATCTAATAACAATAGCAGTTTCTACTGGAATTATATCACTTATTGTGTAAACATTGTATTTGTGCAATTTACTTTTCATACTTTAATTTCCAAAATTATAAAAGGCAAATTTAGTAGCATAAAGCACATCCACTTCCACGTTTGGCAATGAGAACCTTCTTCATAGACAACCAAAAATCTAGCAGCACATTTTCAAACATTATTACAAGCATTTCTGGATTATTGTCACTCCAAATACCCTCCAAGCTCAAAACACCAAAAATAAAGTGCAATACCTATGAAAATATGTCAAGAAAATAGCCACAGTATTTTCTTTGTAATAAAAAATGAGTACTTTGCCTCAGTCTTAACAGTGCTATACTGTGTCCATCATTTTGACTTCTTCATCTTTTTGTAGCATTGAATTTAAATTGCAGACACTTCTATTTATGCAACCTTGTAGATCATTTGCATTCTGCAACAAATGAAGAATTGAAAGCTTAATCTCAATACATACAGAGAATTAAGTCAAGCTATTTTGTCTGTTAAGATGAGATAATTTTGTAATAAAATATAATTTCCTAAATAAAAGCCTAGACAGCATTATCATTATGTGAATATCAAAAGCTTATTTAAATTTAGCAAGCATACTATGACCTTATTGTGAATTTTTTTAGGGTTCAGTTACCAGATCTTACCAAACAAGTACCTTGAGCAAATTTATTTCGAAGTACTTTAAATTGTGTCCCATTTTCTAACATTCAGCTTTTAAATTTTTCTTTTCAGATGTGATCACCACTAACACTGAAACCAAACACCCCAGTGTTCCAAGATAAAGATGGAAACAAGGGCAAAATATCATAACACAGTGCAAATTTTCCTTAGATTTGATTACCTGCATATTTCCATTAATGGAATTAGTAATTTGCAGTTGAAAGCTCATTTCACCTCCTGTGATTCAAAGTACATTTAATTCTGGTACCTGAAGAGGTTAATGATGCGGTTTTCTATTTAGCACAATTATTCAAGGGCACTGAACTAATGTATGCCTTTTGACACTATAAATTGTGAGAGCTTTCAGAAACAATCTCTCTCCCATACTGTTAATAGTGCACACTAGAACTAGCAGTGCTCCAAGTATAGAGACCTATTCCTAGATATCAAAAAGTACATTTTCTCAAGAGTGTGCCAAAAATTTGTTCCTAATAGAGTTTTTATATTCATTTTTGGAAATAAAAAGTCTACCTGTGACAAAGACTCCAGTCCTTCTACAATACCAGTATAGACACTGGAATTTTCTACTGACATAGCTTGAAAGCCTTGAGACTGTGAACAGATTCTCACTCTTGATTTGAATGCTTCAAGCTCAGTTTTAAAAGCTTCCAGATAGCCTTCTTCCCCTGCCTGTAAAGAGAGGAGTGAAATACTTTTCATCTTAGCCAGATTTACTTCTAGTTGTAAGCATACATACTGCTAAAAAGAAGTCCTGAAGTAATGCATATTATACTCATTGAAGGATAGAGGTTTGGACAAGTCAATAACAATATTAGCAGCAGTCAGCTTAAAAAGAAGATTCAATTTTGGAATGCAAGCATCTCTGAGTTCATCAGAGAGAAATGAATGTAGGGGTTGAATTAAAGCCTTTAGAGAAATTAAAATCTATTAAGCCACATAGATATGGAGTAGAAGTGTAGGTTTAAGTAAGCAGAAATGTAAGCTATAGTTTTAAGTAAGTAGAAATATATTTTAAGTGCCTTAAGAAACTGTTAGCTAGTAAAGGCCCTAAGGCCCGGTTTAAAGTTCAGTAACTTAGCTCCAGACATAACAAAAACATAGCAGAACTTTGCTTGTCTTTCTAGAACAGATAGAACTATATGCGTAAATAGATAGAACTATTCACATAAATAGATAAACTTATACACGTACATTTTTAGTAAGAAAACAGATAGTACATTTGCATGTATACATGTCCTAGGGTGACGTTATGATGCTTGTATGCCCAATTCTGTGTTCAGTTTATGCTGGATATTATATTCTGTGCCTTCAAGACTGTCTCTGAGAGCAAAAGCGGGGAGAAGAAGCACAGAGTTTGTTATCAGCCTGCACTCACTCCTCCACATTCTGCTGGAACACAGAACTCCACTGTGTTGTCTGAGCATGGATAGGGCAGAACAGGGCCCTCCTTTGCTTTTTTAGTTACTTTAGCTAGCTGAGGCAGAGAAGTTCCCTGGACTGGTTTTCTTTCCCTTTTCTTGGAACTGTTCGAACCTGCTCCGGACTGGGACCCGGGGAAACACTGAGAGCTGGCACTTTGTGGCCACCAGGGCCTACTCTGGGCAGCAGCCTTTCCCAGCACTGGAGGGACTGATAACAGAGCAACCACCCACAGGAGAGATTTTCTGAATTTGTCATCTCTTCAGAGCAGCGAATGAATTTTGTCATCTGGTATTGTTCATTTTTTGTGCTGGGGAGTGCTTTGCCTGTTTAAATAAACAGGTTTTTTTCCACTTCTCTCCAAGGAAATTTTTCCTGAACTGGTTGGGGGGAGGGGCCGCATGGGTTTGCTTTCTGGTGGGACCCCTTTTGGAGGTTTTCTCCCAAATTTACCCTAAACCAGGACAATAGATAATATTATATATGTAGTTTTTTGGGTAAGAACTGACACTACTTTCGTACTGCTTTCACACATTAGAATCAAGTTCAGATTGGTATCAAAAGAATGTTTTAGAATCGTGTTTATAGCTGATTGGTTGTTTTATGTATAAAAATCCCCCTGGATTGGGAAGAGGACAAAAACCACAAGAAGAAGATGAAGATGAACTACAACAAGAAGAAAGAAGAAAAGGTCTGTGGGGCTGTGGTGGCTGCTGCTTTGGCTTGGGACTCTATGCTAGGGAGCTGTTACTACTCCCTCTGCTTGGGACTCTGTGCTGGGTAGCTGCTGCTGCTGCTACCTCTGCTTGGGACTCTATGCCAGAAAGCTTTAGCATGGACTTTTAAACTTAGAACTCTTTGTGTAGCAATGTATCTGAACAACTTAGACTACAGTGTGCACCAGCCATCCTGCTTATAACTGTTCTTATCAGAATTTTCTCAGGGCCCTCTGGAATTCATCAAGGTTACTAATACATAAACTATGCTAAAATAAGAAAGATGAAGCTGAGAAACCAAATTCCAACACCACAAGAACTCAATAATGGGGGGCGGCAAAGCACCTGGACTGTAACCAATCACATATTCTGAGAGGTGCACGCAGAACGCGTGGACAAGACAAAGGCACGAATAAGAAATGCATGACTAGTGTGTGCAGAGAGTTAGAATGTATAAGTGCATAATGTAAACAATAAATGGCTTCTGCTCAATCATATTGGTCCGTTGTCCAGGAGTCCTGAATTTCCTATACTCTTTGCCTTCGAGACTGATGTATTCATGCAATAAACAACTTTATAGCAACCAACAACTGCTCTTGCCTCTTTGAAGACCCCAGACCCAAGAAAAGCTCGACAATTCAGGTATGATGGTTTTTGTTTGTTTGCTTTCTTTTAAAGACAGACTTTGGTATTTGATAAGTATAGGAACTGAGATATTCATTCATCTGAGAACATTCAAGAACAAAACAAACATAATTTTAACCCTTCCTTTATTCTACCTCAGAAGCCAATACCCTTAAGAGAAAAGGTACTCATGGCAGCACTCACTTCAAAAGCAAAGCATGAATCAAAGTGAATGTCAGCTTAAGTCCTTAGGACAGCATTAAGATCAGCCTGACTTGATTCTTCAGTCTTGTGTAACTTAATATAGAACCTGAATCAAACCACAGCTCCAGTCTTCACCACACATCTCTCCCTCTCAACATTTCAGAGCTAACTATCACTGACTGAAGAGAAACAGACTCCAAATTAGGCCCTGCCATGAACTGCATAGAGAGGCATGATGACAAGCAAAATAGGATACTCAGTCCTTAGACACATTCATGATACAGATAAGTAACATGACCCTCACACATTCACATTTACCAATCTAATTTAGGTGGTGCTTCATTATTCCACACTCCTGTAGTTCCCATGCTATCTTCTGCTTTCCTTCTGGCCTAACAAGAATCCATGGAACTTCCATTCTCAAGACCAGAATTACACAAAACATTCATCCTAGAATGAACTGCCAACAAAACAACACTTTCCTATAAGCTTGATTCAGTCAGTAACATATTTAACCTCCAACCTCCTTCAGAACACCGATCCCTTGTAAGGGTATAAGAGTTTTTCTCAGTGATATACAAATTGTGACTTACTTTGGCTTTTTGGAAGAATAGACGAAAACAGCCTCTTGGATCCACATTACAACTTCTGGCCATTTCTATAATAAACTGCATCACAAGTGCTTGGTGTGCTATTTGTTCCATCAGAGCTCTTTTCTGAAGAGAAAGTACATAATTAGAGAAAATATCTTTAAAAGTATAACTCTATCTAAAATTCAACATAATCTTTGCATTTGATTCCTAAAGAGAAAAGAACTGATGCTGAGAGAAGCAAAGAGACTTAATTAGCTATGATTAGATCTAATGTCGTAATGTGTTTTTGAGGCTTCCTTCATTATGGGAAGACATGAAGAAGAGTAATTAAATTGGCTCATCAATCTGGACAGCTTTTCTGTAGTGTAAGTGGGAAACTGCATACTTTTAAGCAGTTTAAAGTTCTTCCTAGTACCTGTTCAGCTTCTAGATGAAAACACCACAAGATGAGATATTTAGCTGTTTCTTCACATACAAGATATGGGTGATCAGACAAAAATCTTTGACTGTCATCCCATCTGCCCAGCATGCCTAATTAAAAAAAAAACACAACAACATGAATTAATACATTTAATATTTCAATGATTTAATGCAGTGAGGACATTATTGAAATTTACATACTACTACAATCTCCTTCATGCTTTATTGATACCTCAGAAGAACTGCATACTAATCAAACTGAACTCAAATTTTTTGTTGTTTTTAAAACACCACACAATGCTGAAAGTCCGTTGCCAATTAGGTATGCACAAACTGTAAAGATACAATAAGAATAACACCTTAACAGTAGCAGCTAAGTATATTTTAGTATCTCTGGCAGTGTTAAAAACAAGTTAATTGTAAATGGTTTTCACACACTGTAACAAAGTAGTATCTATCCATATTTGTTAAGAATTTGATAGCATGCCTAAGTTGATGGATTTACACTCAGTGATTTGACAGAAACATTCTTAAAGTTCTTGCAAGTAAGACAAATAGAAATGAAAACATAATCATAATCTAAAACTAATATGCTTCTGACATGGTTTGCCAGGTTTTAGGAAATACAAAGCTATTTTTATGACCAAGTTCTAGCATTAAGGTCAAAACAGGAGACCAAACTCAGTGGTTGAAAGTTAACTGGAAGACTGAATTGTAGTAAGTAGCATGAAACTACCTTAATAGAAAGAGCTGCAGGTTGAAAGCCAGAATTAAAAATTTAAGCAGTGAGATCACCTTTCCCCCCGCTATTGTCCTTCACATGAGTTAATTGCCCTAAAAGATATATTAGTGATATTTCACTGCTTGCCAATACTAGATACAAAGATTTACCCTTCTATCACTCATATAAATATATCTTTAAAATTAAAAGTGATTGCATCTCTACATAGTCTTAACAGCTGTTTTGCAGATATTTGCTTTTTATCATTCATCCCTCTCATGGATTATGAGACAGTAAAACTCCACCTACTTATAGGAGGCAGGTACAGACAATCCCAGGTACTTTTACATGCAGGAATTGCATCTCCACTAATGCCCCTATCATTTCCCATGGAACAGCAGAAGAAATTGCTAGAATTTAATTTTCATGACTTTAAAAATGTTTTCAGTTCTATATTGGTGCAAGAAATTTTCATTGATCATAGGAATTTAAAGACTTTTGTGATTTAGTTTCCTTCACTTTGAAATGTTTATTTGTTATAATGCTACATCTCCTGTCCTGAGAAACAACAGTCTAGATACTCTACTTGACAGATGTTTCATTTGTTAACAGCCATTTTGAATAATAATAATAAAAAAAAATAGACCTACACAAATTCTACAGGAGGTTAAACTGCAAAATGTTGGAAGGAACATACTTACCAAAGTATCTAATCTTTTGTTCATGCTTCTGTATAAATGATTTAGATATATCTTCATCTTCTTTTCTTGTATATTTACTAATAAAACTCTGAAGATGAGAAAAAAACTATCATAGAATCTCCACATTTACCTTTTTGAACTATAGGATTATTTTAATTCATTACTATCTGAAGTGCAATATTCTAGTTTTAAGCATAGCCCAGCAAACACATATGTAGCCAACACTTGATGTACCAATGTCGTGGTTTGACCAGGAAGTGAGTTTCTGGGAAAGTTATGGTCAAACCAATCAGTGGCCAAATTTGAACTTGGCACCTGGTGTGGCCACTGGGGACCTGGATACGTCTCTGAGAACACACAGGGGTTAAAAGCAGATGATTCCCAGAAGGAGTCTCTTTCGTCAATCGCCATCACAATAATACTGTGTAACTAGATGATTTTTAAAAGAAACTTCTACTTCAAGCTTTCTAACCCTAATTGAAAGATATTTATATAATCATGTATCAAGTATTGCTACCAGTAATACAATCTCCAGATGCATATCATAAAATTCTTTTGTAGATTAAAGGATTTTCCTCAGTCCCCTCTGGTTATCCTTACTCTGTAAAATTAACAATAGTCAAAATAGCACCATGCAAGACATACTTCTGAGAAGAAAGCATTTGCTTTATGTGACAGGACATGTCCTCCCCCTCTCTACCACAGATAGTTGGTGCAGATATGGAAGAGATAACCTGGGTGAAAAGTCCAGCAAGGGGTCACCTCTGTCTGGCACCAAAATGGCTCAAGCCCCAAGTTAAGAATCAACACCTTAGTCTGGAGAGCAGATGTGGGAAGAGATAAAAGAAAATAAATATTTCTGACTTGTGGATGCTGACAGTCTCGTCTGAGAGAAAGTCAGATAAACTTTCCCGGGCATTGCTCTGGGGGAGCTTTGAGAAAGCTCAGAGAAAGAATTAAAATAATATTTAATCTTTGCAGCTGGTGTTTTGAACTTGTTGTTTACTTCTAAGATGTTTACAAGAAGGGTGTTGTTCCTAATTAGCCAATGATGTGAGGGGTGTTGATTGAGGACCAATCAGGTCCAGCTTTCTCAGAACAGTCTATAAAAGAATGCGATGTCTAATAAACTTCGCTATTGCCTTCTGAGAAGACCTTGGAGTCTGTCACTTTATTCAGCCGTCCCTAACACAATAGCAACACTGTCTGAGACACTGTTTTACAAACTATGACACATGAGTTATCACGAAGGCAGAAGCCTTCTACACACACACCCTGAAAGTGTTCAAGACTTCTTCCTGGAGTTTGGATGCAGATTCCGTGGTTACTTTCCTGGGGATTGAGGGAAAGGATCTTGATGTGTGCCCCACCAACAATTGGATGGTAAGATACATTGAATCCTAAGTTATATTATTTCTTCGCTAGATGTAAAATTAATAGGTACCTTTAGCCCTGCACTGTATATACCTACTACTAGTCTCCCTTTTTGTCCTTATTCCTGTGTAGTATTAGTTTAAGTCTTATGTCTGTTAGTTTTGTGTCTATTAAATAAATAATTCATTCTATAATAGCCTGAATCAGCCATTATTAAAGAACTTGCAAACGAGAGTGGGTTTTGGGGTGCTGGCTGCCTCAATAAAGCTACTGCCTGCTACCGGAGGCCTGGGCAAAAAGCAGGGACTTATCTAAACCCCCACATCTATTCGTAACACTTTATGATGTCAAATTGTAATGCTAGAGTAACTATTACTACCTGACTTCCAGCATGGATTAATATTACATGGTGGGTTAACCTTGGCTGGCTGTCAGGTGTCCACTAAGTTACCTTTATCACTACCCCTCCTCAGCAGGACAGGGGAAGGAAATAGGATAAGAAAAAGCTCATGGGTCAAGATAAAAACACGAAGACCACTTACCAATTACTGCCATGGGCAAAACAGACTCAACTCAGAGAAGATTAATATAATTTATTGCCAATTGAAAATAGAGTAGGATGGTGAAAAACAGACAAAACTGAAAGGACTTTCCCCTCGCCCTTCCCAAGCTCAACTTCACTTCATTGTTCCTGACTCTTCTGTCTCCTCCTCTGCAGCAGGGCATCTCACCCCCCCAAGAACTGGGGGGAGCTTGTGTGAAGGATAGTATTGGACTGGGAATTGAGTGTTAAAGGAGATTGAGTGTTAGAGGGGTGGGGGGAGGAGGAGTGTTTTGGAAGTGCTCCATTGTAGATTGTTGTGTGTGGTTTTTTTCTTGTTTTTTTTCCCTCTTGTGTCTATGTTGTAGATTAATAAAGTGTTGTCCTTTCCCTCCATTCCCAAGTTGGAGCCTGCTTTGTTCTGTTTCCGGGTCACATCTCACAATAACCATGTTGGAAATCTACCTTTCATAGAGACAGTGACACTGTGCCAGAGTCAATCCATGACAACCTATGAAGGTTATTTACCAAAACATAGCTTGTCTAATTAATAATAGGGCGAAAAACTACTTATCATACTCTTCTTCTAAGCAATAATCTATCTCAAAGTTCAACACACTAGTAGGAACTTACTGATCTATAAATGATGAGAAACATCTATACAGTCCAGTCCCAATGAAGCTCAGTGGAATTATGAAAAATGATGCATTAATGATTCATATTCAAATTAAGTGCTGGAAACAAAAACAAAACTGGAATTTACTATGAAGGCAGTTTGTGCTCAGTAATCTTTATTAAGAAATTCATGTTCTCAGAGGTCAGTTGTGCATGTTTCAAATGTGAGAATTTGGCATAACAAAGAAGCAAATTTCACGTGAAGAACAATTGCTCATCCTTGGTTTCAGCGGCAGTTGCTAGAAGGGACAAATAAAATTTCTGATTCCCAGTTAAAGGAGAAGTGTCACACATATTTCTTATATCAGTGCAACATGTCCCCTTTAAAAGAGCAAAAAAAGAAAGAAAAGCATCCAACACATTACAGTAAGCACTGCACTAGATATAAAAAACACTCAAGATGAGAAATAAATGAAATATAAAAGGCTTATAATTGTGTTCATACAAATTTATGACATACCTTATTAAATACCTCCTTACTAAAAGAATCTGTATTCCATAGATTCTGTCTTTCCCTCTCTATTAGGGCTGCTTCTTTTCTCTTCCATTCTTCTTCTCTTTGTCTCAGTTCTGAAGCTTCAGTCTGTGCTTTGGCATATTCCTGATCCATGGATTCTGAATTATGCAGTGCTAAACTACCAAGTTTCTGCTGGGCTTCTGCTAGATTCCATTTGGATTCTATGGAACTCTTCACAAACTCTTCTTGCTTTTGACAGATTAATTCAATCCCTTGATCATAGTTCTGTGTAGAAAACAAAACATGCTGTTTAAGGAAGGGAAACGGATAGAATTTATGAAGCATATAGAAACAGAAGGCTTTGACTCAAATAGAACACTGAGATGGAAGGCATCTTAAAAGCAGTATTATATTCACAACTGACTAAACATGTTACCAGATGATAAATTGTCTACACCTGGTGAGCTAATACAGTGCTTATTCTACCATAACCACTGGCCTATGGAACTGCACAATGCCCATTGTGTAAGAAGGAGAACTGAAAGTTCACCAGCCACAGTGCCCTGCCAACTCAGCCAGGTCGACAGAATGCATGTGTAAAGGGGAGGGAAAATATGTTAATGATTTTGGGGAAATGATTATCATATGTATGTTTAGTCCAGGACAATCAATGAATGTGTATGTAAAACACAGTATATAAACAGAAACTTCCCTGTACTCAGCATGCACAGCTTTGGGAGGAGCTATCCCCACATGCATCTGACTGAATAAAGAATGCCTGCTTCTTAATGTTGCATTGGTGTTAAGGAGTTTTTTATTTTACCAAATTTTTGGTTACAATAATGTAGGAATACAGCTAGAAAGCTGAGCTGGGAGCATTGTCCAGCTCATGACAGAAGTGGATAT